TAGGACAAATGTATGCGCTCTTTTCCTTGCATATCGCAGATGAAAAAACTGCATTGGATTTTAGCAAATCCTGTGGAAGTGGAGTAGACGGCTATCTGGGTGGAAAACCGGAGTAACTGTCTCTGAGATGCTACCAGAAAACAAGTGTTGGATCTTAGTAAATAAAGTGGAACACACAGAAACACACACACACTTCCAACATTTTTTTTTATGACATACCACATTTCATACAGCTAGAAAATGCCCAGGTTTATGAGGCCTTATTTCAAAATAATATACTCTCTTGCCATGTTTTGGATCTTGTGTATGTGATTTAATACACAGTGTGAAAATAAACATTGTGGCTATTTTGGCAGTCCCCACCCATGTGTGTGTGTGTGTGTGTGTGTTTTGTGTGTTTTGTGTGTGTTTTGTGTGTGTAGAGAAATTGCACTGCAAGATCTCACTTCTACTTCTTGTTCCTTCCAAGGACTCTTAAGAAACCTCTGGCTTGATATAGAACAAAATATGTAGCAATTCTCAGTGCTTAATCCTGGTAATCAGGAAAGGATTAGGAAGAAACTCGGGACTTTCCTGCCTTGATCCTCTTTGATACCTTTGTAGAAGATGGAGGATAGAAACTCTTTTGGGCTTTCAAGATTCTGCTGTAGCCTAAATTGATAAAAGTAGAGTGTTAGGAACTTTGGTGGAGTTGGGTTTCTCACCTGGCTACCCTTAAATGGTTGACACTGAGCACCTGGGCAGAAACCACTTATTCTTGCTCTGCTTCCCTTCTTCCAGTAGCTCATGTTGAAGAGAAGCTCTACTGCTTTTAGGAGGTATCTTCTTAGCTTCATCTTAGTTGATGTTAACTCTTACGGAGTTTTCTTGGGACTATTCTGTGTTGGGAAGAGGAGTGGTTTTCCGGAGCTCCCGGCTTCTGGTGATGTCCATGGTTGTGTGCATGTCAATGAAATCAAGATGGCAACACCAACCATACAATTGAAGGCCAAATGAAATTCAATCACCTGTTTGGGGGCGCTGTCACACCTTTTTGGGGTACACACCTGTCTTGTGGATGCCCTACCTGTTTCTCAGCTTGAGGAAAGTGAAGCAGTGGTGGGTGACTTGGTTTTCATTACTCCTGCATGGCTCCATCAGAAGATAGCAAAGGTAGGTTCCTTGAATGCCCTTCACTTTCTTGAAACAAGGTATATATAGTTGACTTAATAGGAAGGGCTGATTCTAGGGAAAGATGAATTTGTTCTCTACACGTGGGAGAAGTAAAACATAAAAGGGGCAAATGATTGGTTGAAAAAAGGCAACCCACATCAGTGTCTTTTGTGCTACTGTTCCTACTTTAAAGCATGTTCTCCTTGATACTCCAAGACCAGATGTGAATGCACCACCTCTATGTACACAAACACATGGAAAGTTGTTTTCTATCTATTGGATCAGAATAATTATAATCAAAGAACTATGATTCCCTAGAATTGCATCTTTCCGGCTTCTGTTTGAAATGGATAGCCAAAGAAGCATAATAATTTATTAACGGCATCTCCTATAGCCATTTTCGTCCACTTGTTGGAAAGGAGGACTTTGCAACTCACCTGTGCCTCTGGGCTAAAAGGAATGTTTCCATCAGGTTGGCTGCTATCTTATAAGTTACTTGATCAACAGGTTTGGGCAGATGGTCTTTAATGCTTTCTCCTCCCCAAGCAATCTGGCCTTGTGAATGTTTCTTATGAACGGGAGAATGAGTAGCACAGTAGAGCTATTGATCATACATTTCCTCAACATACATATGCCTTTGCAAAAATCAGTCTAGGTTTTTTTTTTTAATTACCTTGCTACAGCGGTGCCATCTCTCTCTTCCTTCTGAGAAAGGTCTTTCAACCAGGTTGGTGAACACAGCACATGGCGTTTCTCTGGCTTCCTGGTGAATGCCAAGTTTAGTGAAACAAAGGGGTCCTCCAAAGGCTGCTTCCGAAACCAATATGTTAATTTGCAGCTAGTGTAATTGGCTATCACTGTTTCTTGTTCTATATTAATGAACAGATGGTTGAGGAAATTCTTGCTTCAGACAGTAAACTCAACAAAATATAATTGGGGTGGGGAGGGGGGGGAAATCTTCCAAGCAGTTGGGTCTCTGAAGAAGTCATTAACTGCTTGTGAGGGGTGATCAGTTGCCAAGTATTTTCATATTACTCAAGCTTTATATATTACCTCTGAAGCCAATGGTGAAGGTCGTTGAGCAGGCTTTCAGTTAGAGCACGGATGTGAAGCCACAGCAACCTTAAGATTCAACTCTCAGAATTATGCGTGGAAGGCTGGGAATTCTATGAGTTGAAATCCACAAGCCTTGTGAAATCCTCAAGTCCACATGTCCAAGGTTGGACACCCCTGAGTTAGGCGTTTCTCTAATGCAAGGTAGGTGTCAATATGATCGCCAATCTCCGATAACGGATCTGGTGCAATTAGAAGGTAGCTGCTGCAGTTCTAGAACATGGCCAGTAGGGGGCAGATGTAGCCTGTATATCCCTTTAGAAAAAAAAATAGAGCAGCAGTAAAGAGTACAGTTTTATTTGTCTGAAAGTCCAACATTTCTTAATCTGGACTGAGTAGTATTCAGCTTATTTTCTTGTTCGCTCTTCAAAGATGACTGCAAAAATGAAACTCTGCATTTCCAAGGATTTCCTAAACAACATGGGTTCAAATCACCCACCCAAACCTCCTGAGAGAGTGAAAGGGTGGCTGACGAAAAGTAAAAATTAACCAGTGGTGGGATACGACCGGTACACCCCAGTATGGGCGTACATGTGCCTGCTGGGAGCACTAGCTACTGTTCCGGTTCTGTGCTCAGGGGGGGGCACCCGCCCGCCTTACCTGTATTTGAGCCAATCGGGGCTTACCTCCACACGCACGGAGTGTATGGCACCTGCGCGACACTCCGCTGAGCAGCTGGAGCGTCGCAGGCGATAACTATGCATGCGTGCACCACATGCGTGCATGTGGTGGATGCTCAGCCCCATTGCACCGGGATACGGAACCCACCACTGAAATTGACTGATTAAATTTTCAATGACCAGTCCACTGGCTGTAGTGAGAAACCCTAAGGGTGGCTGTAAGCACTGAAGGTTATCATTCCCTGTCCCTGCCATGAAACCAGGGGTGAAATGCTACCAGTTCAGACCCGTTCACCCAAACCAGTAGTAAAAAAAATAAAAAATGCTACCGGTTCAGGCGAACTGGTATTTCCAACGATCAGCTGTGATGTATGATTTATGTTAGCTAGAATTGTTGGATTTCTTGCTTTCTAGCTTATCTAAAATTGCCTGGCAAAGTGGATTCCCGCCCCACTCGCTGTTCTACTTACCTTTGCAGGCGTGCTAGGTAGCAGGCTCCACCCACCCACCCACCCGGACCTCATCACGTCCCATTTTGACACCCTGCACATACGTGGAAGGTCCTGCGCATGTGTGGAGGTGCTCGCACGCACACGGTCACATTGCTACCGAACCGATAGCAAAGGTAAGTTGATTTCACCCCTGCACGAAACCCCTATGTGCTGAGTAATTCTTAGGGTCTAACTAAAACTGAAGTGCCTTGAAATTCTTAGGAGTTAATTTGCAATTCCATGCCTTATTTGAGAAGTGGGCAATAGGCTTTAAGTGTAGTTTAATGATAGGAGGCACACCTAGAGCCGAGGTGGCGCAGTGGGTAGAGTGCAGTACTGCAGGCCATTTCAGCTGACTGTTAGTTAGACCCTAAGAATTACTCAGCACATAGGGGTTTCGTGCAGGGGTGAAATCAACTTACCTTTGCTATCGGTTCGGT